CATCACTGTAAATTCATTAGGTAATTTGGACCATGGGACTAATTAACAATTTTAAGGCCTTGTCTTTCTTTGGAGGGAGAAAAAGGCAGGTTCCTGGGTGTATTGCCTAGAAATTTCTATTCAGAATAGTTTATTTTTATACAAATGAATATTCTCTTTCCTCGCCCCTAGCCCTGGCATTCATCAAGTATTACTTAGAACTGAGAGCGTTTGTTGGAACACGGGGGTCACCATGCTGTCTTCCCAGAATAGCTCTCTCTCTGAAACACAACCAGTGGATGAACTGTTTGGGGTGATACTCACGAGTATTTCTGGTTTAGGTTCAATCACCTGTGGACTCTGCCACAATGTCCCCGGTAGAGAGGACAGCAGCCTGGGTTCTGAACAATGGGCAGTACGAAGAGGATGTGGAAGAAACGGAGCAAAATCCCGATGACGCCAAGCACGCTGAGAAGGTAGAGCCAAGCCTGCCTGTACTGACTCACTGCCCCACAGCGGCAGGCCACCAAAAGGGTTGTCTAGCCAAGGACATGCTCCACGGAGCCCCTAGCTTCAGCCCCACCTGCCATGTTAACTGGCGTGTACATACCTGTGTATACATAGCTCAGTGGTGTCCTGATGTGAACATATGCAGAAAATGCCCATCAGACTGGGTGGGAGGAATTAGCTCTCATTTTTCTGTTTTTAAATGTAGGCTGCCTTAATTTGGAGAACACTCTGCTATTCATTTCTAGTCATTTTGGATGAATATTCAGTGTTTCTATAAGCTGCTTATTAGTCTTCAACCAAGGCCAAAATTTCCCTTGGATGGACTAGACTTCCTTTCTATATCTTGGTAATGATTTTTTTTTTCTTTTTGCATTTTTCAGGATAAAGAACTTCTAGTTCTATAGATGATTTTTTAAAATACATTATCTATTGGTTCCATTTTATTTTTGTTTTTTGTTTTGTTTTTTAAAGAAAAGTTGACATGGAAGACAGTTACCCAGCAAGAACCTTGAGATCATGTGTGGCATTATCTTATTTAACTAACAACCAGAAGTTAGTTAACTTCTGCTTACTTATCAGCATGATCCTAAATTGCTTAATGATACAGTCTACCCTTCGAACTGTCCAAAAAATTGTCACCTGTGACCTTCTGGATTAACAAGTGTAGTTTAGGACCATGATGGTGGATAAGGAGAAGCTAATTGTCTGTCAAGTAAATGGGATATTATGTGACAATAGAGTGCATTTATAAAGCACCGTACAGATTTATCACTAATTACTAATGATTTAAGTAGACCATCTACAAGAAAACTTATGCCTCTCACCGCACCTAGAAATGTGACATTCCAGCATACTCAAACCCCAACCACAGTAACTTCAGTATAAGAAAGGGCCATGTAACCAAATGATTTATGTAAAGTGTCAGTGAGAATTGATTATATAAAGCTTTAGCTTCTATAAATTTATCTAAAGCTTTAGTGACAAAACAGACATATGTGTTCCAGCAAGCAGGACCAAATTGGGCAGGTGAACCCCATCATGACAGTGGGCCAAGAGGCAGTGTTCACCAGTCCTGGAGAACAACGTCGCCTTTTGCTTGGTGCTTGTGACCTTTTGATGCCTTCATGGTTGGGGAGAAAGCAGCAATAGTTCAATCTGCCATAAAATTCTATGTATTGATCTAGTCGCTTAACATAGAAATGTTGCTTGTTCTCTAAAGGGCTGATTCTAGTAGAGTGAAAGATTAGCAGTCGGATGAGCCACGTTATGTCGGGATCCTACGGTACCGGCGATGGTACAGAATCTTCCCTCTTGGAGACAGCTGGCTTTTGGCTCATTTAAATGATTTTTCAAGGCTCCTCGATGCTTGATCTTTTTTTTCCTCGTTTTACACCCTCACAGATTGGATGTGGCTTGCAGCAGCTGGTAGTTTAATGTGGAGAGAGACACATAAATATATAGATTTGGAATGCCAAGTTAACATTAACAATGAAATGTTAGGAGGAGGGCAAAGCTCCTTTGCCATTTATGCCTGTTGATGACTTTAAAGTACGTGAGCAGCACATGGAGGCAGTTCAGAGAGCATCCGGCTACCTCGCCTGACGTCTCTTTCATAAAAAACGAAATCGCTCACTTCTGAAACCCGTGTGACTGGTCTCTCTCTCCCTGTCTCTGGTGCCCGCCCTCCTCTGCTCCAGTACGAACAGGAGATCACCAAGCTGAAGGAGCGCCTGCGCGTGTCCAGCCGGCGGCTGGAGGAGTATGAGCGCCGGCTGCTGGTGCAGGAGCAGCAGATGCAGAAGCTGCTGCTGGAGTACAAGGCGCGCCTGGAGGACAGCGAGGAGAGGCTGCGCCGGCAGCAGGAGGAGAAGGACAGCCAGATGAAGAGCATCATCAGCAGGTCAGGGGCCCTGGTGGGGGGCTGCGTAGGAGGACGGACCGGGGAGCACATCCAGGGCCCTGAAGGTGGCCGCACAGGCCTTTCAACTCTGCGCGCCCTCCGCCGTCCTCAGGGCAGATGTGGTGCCTGACTATCTTAAAATGGGCCAAACCTGAGACCGTAGTGTGCTTCCTTTGAAGAGAGAGGCAGCCTTCTTTTCATGGTAACAATTAGGGAAAATAAAAACCCAGTGACTCGCTTGAGAGCTTTTAGAGGGGAACTGGGTTTTAAAAAGCTAACTATTCCATGTCCGAGGCTAACTTAGCTTTTCACGAGTCCACAGACGTGGAGGGGTGTTCCCCTGGAAGTCGTTAGGGCCAGAGAGCCGAGAGAGAGAGAGAGAGAGAGAGAGAGAGAGAGAGAGAGAGAGAGAGAGAGATGTCAGAGATGTCAGAGGAGACTAAAGAAGGGGTCGATCTTACCAAACTCCTACATCACACTTACTGTGGGCCAGGCACTCTCCTAAGTACTTTACAAGTAATAATTTGTTTAATCTGTTCATAATAACTTGTTCAATGCCAGTGTCCGAGGTAGGCATTATTATTATTCTCATTTTACGAACAAACAGGAAACTGACTCATTAAGTCACATGCTCAGAGTTGCTTAGTGGTGCAGGCGGGGCTGGAAGCCACACAGTCAGGCTCCAGAGTCGCGCTCCTACCCACTGTGTGTCAATCTTGGCAAAAGCTATGGACGGTCAAGTAACTTGAAGACAGAGCAGGCCTGTTGTTTTAGCCGAGGGGAGTCTTCCTGAGAGCAGTGTGATGGAGTTTAAACACCAGTGGGATAGGATGTCAGTGGTGGATGAGAAAGAAACTAGACTAAGTGCAGAGTACTCTGGGAAATTGGCTAAGCGAGGAATGAGAAAGGGCGGCTGTCACAGAGCAACCTGAGATTAAGGGAGGGTTGTTGTTGTTTTTTGTTGACTGGTTTGATATTTTAAGATGAAATAAGTTGGTCTGATAGAGGAGAGGGGGGAAGTGATTGGGGAATACTGCTCCAGAGGGGATAAGAAAACGTGCGGGCTCCAGTCACAGAGGAATCAACCTTGGATATCTTCCCAGGTATCTTTGGGTATCTTCTTGGGTTGGAGGGAAGAAAACACGCGGTTGCAGGGCTCTTACTGGGAAGAGGTGGGAATACTGAACTGTGATGAGTTTGGGGTTTCTTGTCCTCCACATTAACTAGCCCTCTCGTAGAAGATGTTGACAGGTCCTTTCTGCCACTTTCTAGGCTAATGGCCGTGGAAGAGGAACTGAAGAAGGATCATGCTGAGATGCAAGCAGTTATTGATGCGAAGCAGAAAATAATCGATGCACAGGTAAGCAGGCTCGGGATCTGGTAGAAGGCACTCGTTTATAATGACTGTTATTTCCTGACCTCCCACCCCTTTGCAAATGCCAAGGCGTGCTCTGGAAAATGGCTCATTGGACAACTCACGGCATTACTTTTTGAAGGTTTAAAGGATTTCTATGTGACCTGTCACTTTTCCTTTCTTTTACTGGTGACAAGCCTGTTATGCCAGCAAAGTCTTAGCGTGCTCAGTGCAGTTGCTTGACAAATTGCAGCCCAGTTAGTGCATGATGGGGTTTACGTCTTTCCTTCTGGAAAGTATGGCATTCTCTAAGGGGACAGCTGTGGAAAATACACTGCATGTGTCTGGCTTGTGACCTCCACTGACCATTGCTTGGCTGTGATGTTCACGGTCTTGTCAGTCACGTCCCCCGTGCCATCAGCCGCTAGCCCCAGACGGTAGTGGCACCGCAGAGAGAAGACGAGATTTTAGATGGGACCTTTCCTTACTTTTCTTTCGGTTTAGGGTTCGGCGCGGCTGCTTGCAGTTTGCTTGGCTGCCCTTCTTTGTTGGCTGTGCTTAGACAGCCTCCTTTGGCTGATGAAATCAGAGCCTGGGCCTCTGCTCACTGTAGCTCATACCTGTGACACTAATGGCATGATGGCTGCCAAGAGCACCTCACAGGGACACATTAGTGATCGGAGCCAAATCCAGCAGGCAGAAAATGTTTCTGATTCCTTTTCATTTCCTCAGAGCAAAATAACATGGTCGTATTTCTTAGCGTGAAACAAATCACAAAAGGCAGGTGTGGTTTTGATAGGGGCTGGTCTAGCCCCTGGATGTACCACCTCCCTGGAGAGAACCCAACCAGGTTTGCATTTCTCACCTTCAAGGGCCATGTCATGTCCCTAATCTATGAAATAAAAGTGGGAGCAAACACCCCATGTCCTACTCCCTCTCTGTACACCAGCCAGTACTCAGCCTGTGTGAGAGCCCCCAGTGTTCTGAAAACGTGCACTTGCCACCTCCAGTCTCATCTCCTGGGAAGGAAGTTACTTTCCAAAGGAAGCAGGAGTGACGCTGAAAGCACAGCCATGGGGAGGATGCCTTCTGGGCCTCATACTCCTCCAAACTCACTACACTTGGAAGTCAGGTGTGAGGTGTGATGCTCTCTCAGCAGCAGAGTTCCCCAGAATATTCTGGACTCTTGAACTCCATAGTTTCTGGATATTTAGACCCGCTAAGAATCAGAAGAAAGTTCTGTTGTAATTATCTTACTTGGTCCTTTTTAAAAAGCCTTTCTAGGTGTCCCCAGAGTGGGTGAGGACAAGGTAGCAGAGACAAGGCTATCTCGTTGTCCATACTTTAAAAATTTATCCCAGAGGCATAAGAGAAACAGCTTGGATAAAGAGGGCAAGTTAGTCAGGAAAACTAATATTAGTAAGTTTTCACTTCGGGATTTTCAATATGGCAATACAAAGCAGGAGGAATTCTGTTAATAACCGCACAAGGAGAGATTTTAGTTCTAATGAGATAAAACAGACCACTTTAATAAAATAATAAAGTAGACCGTTTCAGCTGGTCTAAAATGGTGTCCGTCTTAAGCAGAGGGAGCTTGGGCTGTCATAGTCATGGCTCTATACGGTATTCCCCTTTTCTCGGTTTTCTGTCAAGACAGCCTCATCATTAGCTTCTGAAGATTTCTACCCTACCCCCTATTTTGACATTTGGGCAAGATGACTGGGAGTGAAGCAGGAGTCATAGGCAAGAGAGGGGACAGGACGGATCAGGGCTCAAACGCTCTATAAGGACCTCCTCTCAGTTAACCAGGAGTGTGTCACTGTTCAGGAATGGGAGAAACATACCCTCAAGGCGTCAGTCAGCATCAGACTTGTCACCTGGCTTAACTAGATGATAGTTTGCATCCATACCTCAGGGCAGCGGCTTTCAGATGGTTTCATTCGTGGACGCTTGGTGAAACCAGAGGCACCTCCCATACATCAATTTCCAGCTGCTCCTGCTGACCACTCAGCAAGCACCACTCACAACTCATAGATCAAATCACACTGAGGTTTGCTAAATGTAATCAATTACCGATTCCTAAATAGGCATTACTATGTGATAGATTTTGTACCAGAGGCCCCTATGGGTCCCGAGAGAATAGTGGAAAATCCACTAGACCACATTTTGAAACCACTGCACCATGCACAGCACAAAGCATAAACACTGAAGCTAGTTTTTTAAAAAAAAACAACAAAGCTTCCCAATTCCAGCTGTTGTCTTACTGATACATTAAATTATAATTATAGTAAAAGACCATGAACATCCTTTGGCACCCTTTGTAATGAATGACTTTTTATATCAGATCCTTTCCTTTGTAAGGATAAATCTTACATCTTAAGTGTTTGATGGAGCAGAGCAGCCCATCTGGCAACATTTAATAGAATGAGATGTTTGGGGGTGAAAGCTTCCCAGCAAGGGAACCCATACTTTTATGTCTCTCACATCTGCCTTGGTTCCACTAGTAGTAAAAATATATATATTTCTGAAATGAATACAGCTTTCTTTATACTACAGTTGAGCCCAGAATTTCCTAAAACACTAAAGGCCAGATGCCCAGGGAACTGGTTTTCGTCTCTCTCAGCAGCCTTGTGTCCCCACAGGGAAGACTTGTCCCGGAATGCAGCCTCCCTGTCCCCTCAAGTCAGTTCATGCAGCAAAGCTCAGCCTGTGTCAGCCGCTTTCTAACTGAAACGGAAAGGGTGAGGGCAGGTCCACCTGTCCGGGACCTCACAGCACCATGGGGATCCTGGTAATGGTACCAAGGGACCGTTTCTTAAACATCAGACCAGGGACTGTGCCGCCTTTCACCCCCCCACCCCACCATCCCTCCATGTGACTCAGATGGAGAACAGAGAAGGGCTTTTTCCTCTGAGAAGCAAGCAGCTGACTAGTTACTGTTGCAAGTGATATCTCCGCTGTGTTAAATTACAGGTCATAAATGGAGATGAGATTATTCAAACAGGCAAGTAAACCCTGTCGCTCTCTAGCCGAGCAGCTCCCAGCCCTGGCCCGGCGCACTGGCCTCCTACACATTCCAGCTCCTTCACTCCCCGCCCTTGACCTCCCTCCTGTCAGGCAAGGGACTCGATGGCTTTGCCTTCCAATCCAGGCAGAATCGAAATGTCAGACAGAGCATCTTTTGCCAACTGAACTTGACTTTCAAAAGTCCCTATTTGATTTTTTTTTCTTTTACTTTTTGTTTTATTTTGAGAGATTGGCAGTGAGGGGAATTACAAAAGGGAGTTTCTCCACTTGGAAACTTTCAGCTGTTGGGCGGTAGGCGGCAGGGGAGGGGGGTGCTTGCCTTCAGGTGTTACTCTGGTAGTCAGTAAATAATTACAATCACTCAGCCTTCTTTTTGACCCTTTAAGAATCAAATAATTTTTCATGAATGCCTTTTTATATATATATAAACCTAGAGAACCCTGTATTCCTTAGTATTGGGGCCTTATAATTTATCATAATACTGAAATACCTTTTCTTTTTTCATCATTTCAAGAAATTACCAGTTTTTCTGTTTGGAGGCCTTTCCTAACCATAGGGAGAAACATCAGACTTGGCTCCCACCCCTTGTTTTCTGGTAACCACTGACCAGTCCTTACCTACTGTCTTGGAAAAGATCTATACTTATAATCCCAGTAAACACCATTGGCTGTAATTTTTTAAATTATTATTATTTTTAAAAGCCTTGCTAATCTTTCTTTGAGTTTTACCTATCCTTACAATAAGGTACATACCTTCCCAAAGTCAAAAGCGTCCTATACTAGATTAGTGGTTAGTGAATAATGCTGATGTGGGGTATCTTACCACCTGAGGTCTCCATCACAGAAACGAAGAATTCTTTTTTTAATGATAGTAACAAGCGTGAGCTAGTTTTTGTTTGTTTTTTCATTCTTTGAAACTATGACCACCAGCATTGCTGCCATACAGACCTTCTCGCCCCAACCCAAGTTGGAGAGTAAAGGGACATGTCAGTTGATGCAGCTGTTGTACGTGCTTTTACCTAAATTCCCCCCAGGGCAGTGGTCTTCCCTTGCATCCTCCTGGCAGCACGTTTCCCAGCAGAGCGGGCTGCACGCAGCCCTGGACAGCCAGTCCTTTAACAGCCAGGAGCAGCGTCAAACCTCAGTCCTCATAGGGCCTCTCCGAACCTTAGCATGGCTGACCTTACCGTACCTTTCCCCAGGTGAATGCAAAAACTCCCAGTGTAGGGAAACCCCTTTTGGCTTTGGCGGTTGCTCCTCATAGCTATTTTCCTTTTAATTTCATGGGTGTAGGTAAAGCCAGCCCTTCTCAGCATTAACTTGTCTACTGAAAAATGACGGAAAGATTCATGTTGGAAAGGTTCCGGAATGGTTTACCTAGCTGCTCGAGCTAGGATTAGGGTTTCTCTCCTAATCTTCGTGAGACTGGTAATTTTTTGATGGGATTTATTTTATTTTATTTTTT